GAAGTGGAAGAGCCTCACGTCCAGGCTGTCCTCACTGACCTCGCAGCACTTGCATTTGCACTTGCATGGGCATAACCCAAGTGACCAGCCAGCCCGCTCAGGGCCACTGAATCGCTGTTTCTCTCAGCATGAGATGCTTTTCTCAGGACATGGTGGGAGGGATGGAGACTGCAATACCCTCCCCATCCCAAATACAGGTTATCCTGTCCAGCCAGCTACCAGCTATGCTGGTATGCCCTGTGCCAGAGCCTACCTTACCCAGCAGAGCCCCAGACTTGCCTCTTTCTGACATATAGCTTACCACAGGTGGTCTCTACAGGGCCGCAGGGTAAGGTGGAGGCAGTCTGTTTTGTTTGTATATTTACAGGGGATGAAAGCCAAACTGGGAAAGGACTTTGCTACAGTGCAGCCAAGTGACTATAAAGTACTGCTTTAAAAAGCCACAAGGTCACCTTTGCTGACATTTGGATAAGGATTTTATAGAAGTCACAGGACTGGGAGATGAGCTTGTTGTGCCTACGATCGCAGGGGAGGGAGGGATTTATGTGCTAGTCAAGAAGGGTGCATTGTTGTCACTCTTTCATGTTCATAAATGCTCATTTATTAGTCTGTTGGATAAAAGAGGCTGATTGGGATTTCTCTTCTCACTTACTGTAGTTCCAGGTGGCTTCCTTGGCTCTGCCAGCACACTTTCATGAAATTTAACAGCCCCCTACTTACCAGTGCTCTCCAGGTGCCATGTCCTTGCACAGTCGGTCTTCTTGCCTGGTTAGACATCAGCAAAACTTGGTTTCACAGCCATCCTTCATTTAAGCACTATGTGAGAACTAGTATGTATCATCCTCTCACATGAAGAACCAGCACACAAGCATGCTGAAATCTGAAGGATTTGGACAGAGGGGCTTTGCTAATGATGTGTGTTGTGAACCTGGTGCTTGTGTACAGATATCCATATGTGTGTGTGTGCTCAGTCTGAGAAGCAGCACAGACTCTGATTGTTAGGCCCTGCAGAGCCTGAACAAGCAAGGGTGCAGCCTTGAGCAAATCTGAGAGGAATGAGCGCAGGAAGGAGGAGGACATGCTCTGATGCCATGCACCTTCTGGAAAAAATGTTATGGGCAAGCAAGCCTACATCAAAGAAACACCTGGGTCCACCACTGGCTTCTTTTCCTCGGTGGCGTAACATACAGAACAGGTTTTGGCCAGGTGGCAGAAAATGTAGACATCATGACAAAAATAATCCTTGCCTGAAAATATGTGGTATAGGTGAACAGCTGAGTCTCCTTATTAAACTACAGTGCCATATAGACATTACATCCTATGGGCACTGTCTGAGCTTCAATACCCAAAAACCAGACATAGCTGCTCAGTGACTATGATGTGAACTGGAAACATCCCTGCCCTTTCCTCACATTAGCCCTGCAGGGAGATGCAAACATGAAGAATGCCACAGACTTCATGCTAATGTGCTAAATATTTAACATAATTAGTCACTGGAGCCCCATCCCTGTCTCCCACTGAGGTCACATAGAGACAGATCACAGGATTAATAGTATGGTCCCCAGCACTTGCTCCTTGATGCCACTTGACGTTGGCAGGTGTATCAGAGCCAGGCAGGATCAGCAGGGAGAAGTAAAGACAAGGGCAGCGCAGCCTGCAGTATTGTTGCACCCTGGCTGGGGCTGACTGTCTCATTTGCACAGCGCCTGGGAAGAGAGGTCCTGCTCCTTGTGTCTGAGATCCTGATGAGTCGCCGGCGTCTGACACCAAAGCCCAAGAGAACGTGAGAGGTCACTGGCTTGGTGCCATGGGTAGCTCTGCTGTGCAATGGAAACCACAGCAGTGGGAGAAGAATAGTGTGTTAAGTGTGAAGCAGCAAGGATATTTTTCAACCTAAGGGTGGATGCAGGTGCATAACGCATTTGCTGTCAGAAACAGCATTTATTAGCATAAAAGAAGTTGCAGGAGTGCATGGAAAGCATAGGACAGCCATAAGCCTGACCTGGCTGTAGTCAATGTGTACGTGCTGGAGCAAGGAGGCTGGCAGCACACAATCCACATCTCATTGTGTGACCAGGTACGTGTATGTGACACCAAATGGTGCTAATGTGGAGGGGGGCTGAGCACAAGCCCTTGGGACCCATTCTCCTTATGTAAATCTATTCCTGGAAAGGAGGCAGGAAAATTACTGGGCTTATGCTGATATGGTTTATCTCCACTAAGAGACTTTGTCCCATACATGAACCAGAAGAGCTATGTGTGCTAGTAGTACAGTGGAAAGGGTGACTCCAACACAGATGCTGAATCAATATAGCATGGAGCTGAAAAATCTTTTCCCTACCATATCCTTTTCTCTAGGAAAATTCCCCTGTCCCTAAAGCAGGGGCTGTTGCAGGAGCTTTACAGACTCACTGTGTGAGAACTACATACATCGCTACACTATGTCAGGACTGCAGCCAAGGGCATACTCAGTACCCAGAGTAGCAAAGGTGCAGACATTTGTTTTTCACCACAAGCATCCCAACCCACTCAGCCTGCCGGAGATAGCTCCACTGGTATTGGTATCTGAACTTGCTGGTTCATCTCAGCTTGCACATCTTAAATGGGCCATAGGCACAACCAGAAAACCTACATCAGGCCCCACATCTGACCAGCACAAGTTTAAATATAGTCCCTAGTGCACTGACACACAGGGGTAAGGCAGGGAGAGCAAAGGGCCAGTGCTCCCAATGGACTGACATTTATTCCAGGTACCTAATAACCGGTAGCTGGGTACAACATACATGCAAACTCTCCCTCCTCCATCTCATTGCCTTACATAAAAATATCTAGAGATGACTTCAGTCTCACTCAGACTGATGGAGACAGCTGCCATAGCAGAGCTTTTAATCCTAAAGAGTCTGTTGTCACTGGCAGGAAATCTTATTGTGTCGGACAGGCAATCCTAGACCTTAATTAAATAGGTTGCCCTCCCCGCAAAGCCAGACAGACTAGACTGGAGTCAGATGAAGCAAGTTGCTTAAGCCAGGGACCACCTGGCTGTAACTTCATCTAGGTGACAGCATATGCTTTTGTGACCCTCTCTGAAAGGTTGAAACCCCAAGCAAGCTCCCAGAGGTAAAGTGAGGATTTGTAAAGAGCAAGAAATCAGAGATGCTCTGTTCTAGGAAGGAATTCATTCCTTCTCCTTTCAGAGACTGAAATTTTGTGGCCTTTGCCCTGACCAAAGACACAGCAGATCACATGGGTTCAGGATTGATTTTTAAGGGAGCTGGTAAGTCCTCCTTTGTCTCCATTGCATGCAGTGTAGCAGGGAGCACTCTGAATCAGACCCTGCTAATAGCTCCTAATACTGACCACCTTGTTTTGCTTTCTCATGCTTGCCCTCACACTATCTCTGTGAGGTAAGGCGCATTACTTTCTCCATACCAGAAAAGAGCATCATGTTGACTCCACGCATTTCCCCTAGCCAGGACCTGGTTGCCTGCTTCTGTAGCATCCTGCTGCTGTGCCAAGATGTGACCCTGCCATGAATGCTCTCAACCCTGTGCAAATATACAGAAAGACAGCTAGCTGCTCATCCACCTTGCTTTCTGTGGGGAGAGCACTTGAGTGTGTATGCCAGAAGAGTCTGCAGCACCCTAATGCTGAGGCCCTGAGTCGGATGATGGGGATGGAGGAAGAGGAGGGAATGAGGAACCCAGTGCCCCTCTGACTAGGTCCAGCCAGAGAAACTGCACAATTCCCAAGGAATCAGCTAGTCTGCTGTGAACCTGGGTGTCAGGTTAAATCTTTGCACTCAAAAATCCTTTTCAGGCTCCAACCATTTCTGACTAACCCTTGGGCAGCCTTGGGCACAATGTGGCCCTCAGCCTTTCCCCCACCTCAGTAAAATTAGGTCACTTGTACCTCACTGTGGTACTAGGATGGGGAGAGAGCAATGGGCAGAGGGAGGCGGCTTGCCGCTGTATCTGTCCCTTAAGCTCCCCCACAGGACATGCTTTTATGTCTGTAAACTCAATGCAGCATGCGCTGGAGAGACACTCCAGCAAAAATGCAAAACAGGCCAGATACTGAAGCTTGGGTCTTAAGAGGATATGTCGCCATTGCAAGCTCCTTCCTGGACTAAGCAGCCTGCTTTCCACTGCCTGGAGGGAGTAGTGCACTGTGCTGCTGCCGGGACCAGAAGCTTGCACGTGCTACCTCCCTATAAATAAGCAAAGAGCCTTCCCTCACTATGTACTCCCCTGCACAGCAGTGGCCATGGCCTTTAGTCAGGCAGTATTTCTTTCAGCTTCGGCTGAGTCTAGGCTGCCATTTTGTGTTGTGAAGTCCAATAACCAGGTCATGGCCCCATGGTGACATCTGAGGGCCTCAAGTCCCCCAGCTCAGACAGATGCCACATGCCACTCAAGTCATGGACTGACTCCACAGGATGAGGTGCAGCTGGATGCATATGCAAAACATCTTTCCGCTCTCTCCATCTCCCCCACTTGTCACTAGAGTGCCTGTAAAGCCACGAGCGAACACACAACACTGGTGCAGGAATTTTTATTTTCTGAGAAACACATACTTTACTTCCCAGTGCAACAGAACTTTGGATGCATAGCAGCAGCTGCCAGAAACCTACAGATAGCAGGGAGTACTGCTCTTTATAGTTTTGCTAACATGAGTTTTGCAACTAATGCAAGTTTCCAAGTTGGCAGACCCTGGAGACTGACTGGCTGCGTTCACCCCCACAAAGCAAGGTAATACTGTGCTGGAAGCTGTCCACAGAAACCTGGTGACAGTCTCACCAGTGGGATGAACGAGACACTGTGCCTTTGTTTCCCACCTTGACCTCCCTTTCATACCATTTGAGTCATCCCTTCACGCCCTCCTTCACCACACTCCTCAACACTCCCCTTGTTCCTCCACATCCTTTCATCTCTGGCCATGTCATTCCTTCTTGGATGAGACTGGGTTTTGGGGAGGGGGAAAGAAAAAGAGGATAGGGATAGGCAGAAGCTCACAGATAACCCCTTACATTATTTTTCCTAAGAAAGCAGATTATTTCTGTTGTATACATGAAGCCAGGAAACAATGGTTTATCATGGATATCACTCTGAGTGCCTCTACACTGCCTGGAGTGACTCTTGGCCTCTCATCAAAGCTTTCCCACACACCTTGGATGGCCAGTTGTAAGATGTCCAAAACAGTGCTGGGGAAGCTACTCTAAGATGCACGGCCAGGCCTCCATTGTGGTGTCCTTCTGTGCATATGTGCTAACCCTGGAAACCAAACTCCTTGTACTTGCTGGCCATATCATTTCGGAACAGCTCCAGGGCCTTCTTCATCGCAGCCTGGGAATCAGCCCCAAAGTCTGCAGAGTGTTTTTCGGCAATGACCTTGATAATGACTTCAGAAATGAACTGTGAAGAAGGAAAGAGAGAGAGAAAAACAGAAGGGACAGTCAGGGTTTATTTTCAGAAAAGCCAGTCTAAGAAATAGGTTGCAGAGCCTGGAAATATCTCCGAGCTAATTCAGTAGCCCTTCCTGCAGTCTCTGGAGAGACAGTGAGGTTTAGCTCGCAAGGAGCCTGGGCTGGGCAGAAGAACTGAGCTCTATTCCTAGCTCTGATGCTGCTCTGCTTCGTGACCTTGAGTAGACCATGGCCCTTCCCACTCTTTGTCTGCCTCGTCCATTAAGGCTGAAAATTCATGCCCTGTGTTTGTACAACACTTAGTTTTGTGGGTCTTGGTCTCCAGTGGATCCTCCTGGGCTTACTCTAAAATTGTACATCCCTCGTGTCCAGCCACTGACAGTTCTTATGTAATGTAGTTTCCCAGGCATGCAGAGGCTGCATGGGCTGGTTTATTACTGTCAAGGGTTGCTCAGACTGCATGTGGTGTTTCAAATGGGAAATCTAAACTTGGACATTCACATACCATTCACATACCATGAGCCTTTTCTGTGCCTCCTCCCGCCTGTACACAGAGACCTTGGACTTGAGGGAGAGCTCACTGAAGTCCAACCAACCATCAGTAAATAAAAGTGCAACTCTCAGTAGCTGTCTTGCAGACATGCACTACACATCAGACACCAAGATTCCCTGTCCTTTTTCATACCTCCAGATATTTGACAGGGATTTTGTGCTTGGTGGCATGGGTTTGAGCCAGGGGCTTCAACTCTGACTCATGATTACCCTTCTGCTTCAGGATTTTGCCCAGCTGGGTAAGGACGGTAACTCCATGTTTCTTCAGATCTTCAGAGCCCTTCATCTGTTCAGGGGTCTTCAGGCCTTTGAACTTTTCAAAGCGATCCAGGGTCTCCGGGTGATCCTGAAAGAGCCTGTGGACAACAGTAGAGGGACTTGTGAGACTTGAGAGAGCTGTCATCCAGACCAGACCTGAGGTCCAGCTGCTCCAGGTATTGCAGAGTGTTTGGACAAGCAAAGGTGTTATAACCCACTTCTCTCCCCAAAGAAATCTCTTAGCTAGTCCCTGCTAGTAGAGGCTACTTCAACTTGGGAGCTCTGACACTTTAGATCTTTTCCAAATTATCGCCATTCACAATCACTCCATTTAGCATGTATATAAGCCAGGGAAGCATCTGACCCTACTCTGAATCTGGTTTCAGTGTTTTTCATCCTTCCTCTGATACGTTGTTCCCCAGTTCAGCCCAGCTGCCAGCACTGTGGTTCTTCCATCGAGAACTGCGGTACCTCCGAAAGTCCCGGGGAGCAAGTGGGTAACAAGAGCGCGGGGCCCTCAGGCATGCTGGTGCCATGCCATGCAGTGCTATCTATACATAGGCACTCCCATCCTGAAATGGAAATGAAATCAAGAAGGTGGAAGGGTGGCTAAAAGCCAGGCTAGTGTTGTCCCCCCTGCTTCCTCCCTGCTGCATTTCCTAGGAGACAGGATGCAGACACCACTGGCAACCAAACTAGTAGGAAATTACGCTCTTTTCCATGCCAGAGTCCTACAGTCAGGGTAAAAAGGGGACACTGCCTGTCCTGGTTATTAGGAGCAGTCTAATAATTAGGTGTTGAGAGACATCAGCTCCCCTGCACAAGTTTATTTTCAAGTATTCTACCCTCTGATGGGCGTAATCCAACTAGTTGAAGCACCAGCAAAAGCAACGGCTGTCTTTACAGCCAAGGTCCTACAGCTCACATCCATGAAGCGGCTCATCCAAGTTACCTGCAGCAGTGTCTGGTGCTCCGGCCCAGGACTTCAGCCACAAAACCAACCTCCCTCTCACAGCACAGTGGTTGTACGCTTGCTCTGCCCTCAGGAGGCTGCTGGTGCTGCGAATACTGGGGCTTGCATCCCAGCTAGAACTGGACATTCCTCCTAGGTATGTTGCCATGAGGGCCAGACTCTCCACTGTGTGATGTAAGTATAGGTTAAACTACACTAACAAATACCTCAAGCACATGGAAAACACAAACTGTTCTGCAGCAAAAAGATTCCATAAATGAGTGATCAATCTTTGCTAATGTTTCACTTTAAAGGTCTCCAAAGGATATCTGTACTCTACCAGGTGCTGAGCACACCACCGTCGGCCTTTCCTTTTTTCCTGAATTTTTCCAAGACACAGGTTGTGTCCCACCCAGATAGATGAAGAAACCGTGCACCTTGAAATGGGATGGAGTTATTTCTAAAAATCTCCCTCCGTCGTGTCTGTGTCTGGCTATGGCTGAATCATGTCTCCTAAAGACGATATACTCCCGAGACTCTTCAAAATTCTTCCAAGGAGTATTTTTTTTCTTTCCTTTGGAGAATATCCAGTTGAATCAGTATTTTCTAAACATATTCTCAGGATATGACATCTACCTAAGAAGTCTTTAACAATGCACGTGCAGACACTTGGCTCTAAACTAAGAGCTGCTGGGCTTCCCCTGCCTCTCTCCTCCCTCAGAAACTCCTTGAAGGAACAAGAAATGACCTGGCTTGGCTGGGGAGCACAAAGTCAAAAGGGAGAGAGGTGTCACCTATTTAATGCCATGCTCTGCCCTGCGATACCTGTAAGGAAAACACTATTACCTTTCCAGCTGGAAACTGCTTTCAGTGTCTTGTGGCACTTCCAGAGCCAAAGTAGCCATCTCACACAGATGGACAGGTGGGGAGGGCTCGGGTTCCTGCTACCCCTCCAGCATGCCTGCTTTGGACCGCATGAGGGGAAAGCCATCACATCATTGCCACCCAGTTTCCCCATCCCCCTCTCCCCTTCAAAGAGCAGCTGAATTGGGCCATAAATGAAGAAGGAGAAGGTAAATAAAACATCTCTGTGCTTTGGCTCATCTTTGAAAAAGCTTTGAATGGACAGTGGATTTGCCCAGTGGTATGGGCTCCTTCCTTTAGCTGTGCTTAAGATAGGAAACCTGGCCCTGGAGCGAGTGCCACATCCCCACTGCTCTTCTCAGCATCCATACCCTTCCAGCACGTCAGACTGAGCACAGGCTGAGGGGGAGATCTGGAGAGAGCCTCCTCCAAGTTTCCATCCCTGCTGGTCTCTGACACCAGAATGATGGAGGAGGGAAGCAGGGGGGAAGGATGTGCCTCGTTTCACACCCAGACCTCAAATTCATTATCAGGAACTGGACAAGTGTTACCACCCAATTTCCTGCCCAAAAAGTAGGATGAGCAGGGCTCTGCCAGGTGAGATGAAGGCGGGGAGAGGGAAACACTCAGGTACTTCACAGTTAATTTTAGTGAAATCATAGATTCCGAGAAAATTGTCACAGAGGTGATTTTGCTCTCCTTCCCTGCCTCCCCACATCCTTGCTGCAGAGCGTGTGAAGGCCCAGGACACACAATTTGCTCCAGCATTTCTCACCACAGTGCTTGGGCAATGAGGATCCGAAGCAGGGCTTTGCCAGCAGAGGCAGAGGGAGTGACAAAGTCCCACCATCTTTTGAAAGCAGCACTGGCCTGCTCCTGCACCCATAGACACATGGAGAGACAGAAGCACAGCCACTTTATGCAGTGAGTAATTTTTAACCCAGAAACCATAGCAATGGAAAAAACACCACCCTACAACAAATACAGCCTGTTGAGATAAACAGTACCGAACACGAGCCCCCGTACTAAATATACGCCTTCCTTGGTCTCTCATCAAAATCTCTCAGCTTTACTCTTAGGATGGAAGCTTCTTTCCTACCTCATTAAAATTGCATGCCCATGGCCAGGGAGGTCAGACTCCACCTTTCCCCAGATGGTCAAGACCTGCTGCCATTCCTGATCACTGAGCCCCATGGTTCACTGAAGGCAGGTCCCGAGTGCTCCTCACAGCCGTTTGTCTTTCCCCGATGGGGTGGCTGGAGAGCTCACCCCTGGGATTTATAGCCCCTGCTCACAGACCTACACCTGTCAATCGTCATCTGGACGTCTTGCTCTCTTTCAGGCTTGTCTAACCTAATCAGCCTCCCTATTTTTTCTAGGAAGCTATTTTGGGTCAGGTGCTATTGTGGGTGCCACTGATGGCATCATTTCTGCTTTTCGTATTGGACTGGCGCATGTCCCACTCTAGACAGAAAGGGCACTGCCGAAACACAGTGCCAGGAGCCTGTCCCGGGTTCCCAAGGACCCAGAAACAGTGTCAAGCTGTATGGCAGGAGATTCCTGAAGAGCACTGTCATCTGCAAGGCCACCCCGCCTCCCTCACCCCTGGCCTGCCAAGGGCAGGCAGGAGAAGAGGCAGGGATCGCTGGTCGCATCAGCTCCATCGCTCCAAAGGCCTTTCCTTTCCCATGCTGACCTCACTCTCCTTTTCTCCTGGGGTAATGCACACCATTTACTAACAGAAGAGCACAGCGTTAGAAGAGACATGTCCTTAAGAGCTAAACATATCCAAACTGGCCACGGCATCTCCCCAGCCTCTGCAGGAGAGAGGAAGGGGATAAAAGCTATATGGGAGCCAGTTACCCCCACACCTGTCTGCCAGGGGTCCTCCTGCCTGCCTCTCCGGGGAACACTCAGGATTAGCTGCTGGCTGAGCCTGGATATCAGAGCCAACAGATGTACAGCTGAGCCAGGAGGGTAATTTGCAGCAGGCCAGCAACACAAGAACACAGCAGGGCTATGCTCAACATGCACCCAGCCAGGGGTTAAGGTCTCTGGCTACTTCTGTCAAGCCAAATATCAATGTTGTGAGGAAAAGTCACCAGGCTGACAAACAACGTGGGTATGCTTTGGGACACCTTACAGCCTTTCTCCTCCAGCCTCCATCAGGACTGATAACAGCCTGGCATGCCAACGGGGCGATTAATCCCTTCCAGGGGTGACTGCAGTCAGAGCACAGCCCGATAACAAAGCCCAGCTAGCACTGCTGTCCAGAAGCACACACCTATCTCTGGACGTTTCCAAAGGGGCACACACCACAGACCTTGGCAGGAGAGAAATGTCAACCAAGGGCTGAAGACACCTACCCTTGGGCTCAGGAGAACTGCATGCAACCCCATGGTCCCTGCCAGGGTGCTGCAGGGACTGAGGTGCATCACTGGCTCTGCACCCGTCCGCCCTCTGCAACACAGGAACAGTCTCCCTGCTCCAACCTTGCAAAGGCAGAGAAGTGTCCACATACAGGGGTTAGCATGCAGCAAGGAGGACCTAGGCACAGAGCCTCGCATCCCCGAGAAACACATAAGTTTAAAGGCAGTAGCTTAGGTAAGAAGAGTGGCAAAAGCCAAATGGACGTGCCCAAGGAGGTACGGGAATTTCATCTGTTACATGTAGGAGAGGTCTGTCAGCCAAGTCAGGCTGTGACCCTGCAATTCTCCTCTCTCCTGTATGCTCCAGTTCATATACAAAAATCCACATCCTAAATGTGGATCAAGATTTCATCCTGATTTACCTGTGCAAACACCAGGGCACTACCAATTACCCAAACTAAGCTAAACTGATGGAAGAGAGCTTAGGACCCCTCCTGCTCATTCCTCATATTGTTTTCCACAGCGCAGGGCTGAGACAGGAGACATCACATACCTGCAGCCTCACTCCCCAAGTACTCACAGCAGTAAACAAGCATTTGCACCCTCCCAGGCTCGACCTTGGGTAGGATCCTGAATACTGACCTTACTGTTTTACACGCGTTTCAGACACGACAGAAATGTGCTCCTGGTACACGAGGCTGCTGCTTATGCACTGAGCTCTGTCATATTCCCCAAGCTGAAACTACTCAGTTGCCATAATAACTTTGTTTGAAGTTGGGCGACTCTCTGCTCTTTGTAGCTTTCCCCAGGGCTGTGAAGCCAACGGTCTCGGTATGGACATTAATGTTAAATGGTCAGAAGGCTTAAAAAGAGTATGGGATTCTATATTGCTTTTTTTTTACAAGTGAAGTAGTAATGAAATTAAATCATAAGCTCTTCTCCCTAGAGCTTAAATAGTCTGCAGAAATACTAAAAGCTTTATAGCGCACCAGACCGCGCCTCAACCCTGCAGCTGCAAAAAAGACATAACATTTTAGTATCTACAGGCCTCTCTTCCCGCCTCGGGGCAAAATATATCACTTGCATAATCATCTCGATAAAGGCAAACTACAGAGAGCCAACATATTGGCCACCCCCTTTAAAAAAGCACCGGGTGATTGAATAACCTATTTCAAACAGCCCTGGCCACAAACACCATGGCCGTGCTGACACGCGTGGCCACGTGTCTGCGTCTACACATAAGGCGCTCTCGTTAAACTATCGTAAAATGTATCGTTAATATTTTTGGCTGCATTTTGGGGTGCGTTGTTGGCTGGCATGACGCTGGTGCTGCTGTAAAGCCCCCAGGACGGACCGCGACCACCCAGCGCAGGGACCCGCCGGGGGCTC